TAGCGCAGATAGCCCTCGTGTAACTTTGCGCGAAATTAAAAAAAAAAAAACAAACAATTATCCCATCTCATCTTGTATTTCTGTTGAATGTTTTTGTCATGAAATAAAACTTGAAAAGTGTGTAAGACATTTACTTTTATGATATTTTAAAGGCATTCTACCCACTGCTTAAAAGTGCAGCAAGTCAATCACCTGGTGATGAAATGTTGTGTTCCTGAGCTGCTGTGGTTAACATTTCATCTACACTAGGCTCACTAGTGCTTACCAAAGAAGAAATTAGAATTCCTATTCTGTCCTATAAAGCTAGCAACGTTAGTCTTTTCATATACTGTATGTAATTATAAGTTGTTGTGAAGAAGTGAAAACTGTGTCTCAGTTTGATATCTTCTGAAAAAATTCCAATTTGATAGGATGTTGTGGTACTTTTGCACTCAGGTAGGGTGTTGTGGTACTGTGGCTCTCACATAGGGTGTTGTGGTACTGTGACACTTGGGTAGGGTGTTGTGGTACTATGGCTCTCATGTAGGGTGTTGTGGTACTGTGGCTCTCCTTATAGGGTGTTGTGGTACTATGGCTCTCACATAGGGTGTTGTGGTACTGTGGCTCTCACATAGGGTGTTGTGGTACTTCAAACCAAAATCCCAGTAAACATGTGAAAGCTCAATAATTCAAATTGATTTTACCATTAATTGATCAATGAAATGAAAACTGAAACACTTCAGCCACTGTAGATTGGATGACTAAAGCATTTGGACATTTACCTTGATCAATGAAATGAAAACTGAAACACTTCAGCCACTGTAGATTGGATGACTAAAGCATTTGGACATTTACCTTGATCAATGAAATGAAAACTGAAACACTTCAGCCACTGTAGATTGGATGACTAAAGCATTTGAACATCTACCAGTTACTGAATTGAAGAAAGAAAACATTATTTCATTGTCACAACTCGTTTTTCTAAGCTTCCCTTTACGGTAATTGCATGTGTCGTTTGAAAATTACAGATTTATTTTTTTTCTCTTCCTTTACAACAGGCAGCACTAACTATGATGATGACATTATTTTACCCAGGTTGGGTTTGGACAGATATGAGTGGTCAGAATGCTTCACTCCATGTCAGTGAAAGTGTTGAAGCTCTGCAACCTTGAACAGCGGCCACCATGGAATATTATTCGATTGAAATGGTGCTGGTGTACCCTGGTAGTCTGCGTGGATTATTCTCGAAACTGAATGAAAATTTTTACCCCTGTTATATCTTAAATTTCTCTGAAAGATTGTGTCACATAGTTTTCAGACAGAGATCACTCTTATTCGCTTGGGTACAGTAGTAAAAAAAAAATTTACTTGTTTCTGTTGTCATGCTTTGTAATGTGGTAGCATATTTCTTGATGCAAGAATGCCATTAATTTTAAAAACAAAGATACTTTTCTGAAAGTTAAATTGTAATTAATGCGTTTCAAGTATTTCCTTGGTTAAAAACATAGTATGGATAACAGTATTTCTAGTTCAAATGAAAAAAAAAATAATATTCAGAGATTAAAAAATAAAACAAATTTCATTTAGCTCCATTAACTCAATTACATATTATGTGCAAGTGATTTCTCAGACTTTGAAAGCAGGAGTGTTAATATTCGTAAATAAAAAATATTTTAGAAATATATATAAATAATGATTGTTAAAAGTATCTGTTCATAAACCAAATTCAATGAATGTATTACAATATAAATTTTCTTGTAGAGTTATATTTTGATTTCTCAATCAATGCTTTTGCTTGTTTTTTATTCATTTTATTGTCCTTTATAAATATCTGTAAAGAAAGAACAGATAAATAAAATGCTTTTCGTTGATGAGCAAGTACCAAATATTACTTGAATACATTACTTCAGTTGTTATCAGTCGAGTGTTTGAGTACCAGGTTAGTATTCAATATTAAATCACTGAAATATATTGGTGTTAGTACTCACTTTATGTAGCTTTCTTTATCAGTATAAACATTCAAAAAAGCTTTTAATAATAAATTATTGATCTACGTAAGTCAATACTCACTATCATACTGAGTTAAATCAGTGTTATGGGTTAGGATGCAAAATAAACAAATCAAATTTAAACATAAACAGATGAATCAGAATATGGGGTATTAATTTTATATTAGGGAAACTCGTGCTTTGCGTACCAAACATTTTTTTTAGTTGTGGTATTTTGTATTTGAATGCTCAAAGTTTATAAAATGAAAAAACCAGCGTTGTGTAATTAAAACAGTTAAGTAATCTGCTTAAACAAGTTTGATGGCCGTGCAAGGCGTCTCAATGACTGTGAGATTAAACCTATTCTACAACACGTAAAAACTATCAAACATCTCTAGCACAAAAGAGAATTTGAGCTGAGTGTTCTGATCAAAAGTGACAAATTGATGGACTTATATAGCAAGAGACGCTTTCAAACCTGGGTATTGGAGGCAACTATAAAAACTCAACAAAGTGAAGGTACCGGTACTCTTAGTACCTATAAAAAAAAGGACGAAATCCACACATAAAACCTTAACAACAGCAACAACAAAAATTAACGCTGCTGTCTGAGATGGGGCTCTGGGAGATTCATTCCCAAATACCTTTCCCTTTGCAATGCATAGTTCTAACTATAACCACCCTTCTCTTACGCATATGATGATGTCGTTTGTACTTCCTTACTAGTAATTTCGTTTAGAAATGAGTATTATGGCAGTGTTGAGTGTTATGGCAGTGTTGAGTATTATGGCAGTGTTGAGTGTTATGGTAGTGTTGTTATGGTAGTTTTGAGTGTTATGGCAGTGTTGAGTGTTATGGTAGTGTTGTTATGGTAGTTTGAGTGTTATGGCGGTGTTGAGTGTTATGGCAGTGTTGAGTGTTATGGCAGTGTTGAGTATTATGGCATGTATTATGTTTTTGACAAGAAATGAACGTACATTAATGCCTTCCGCTGTCGTTTATATATATTAATACACATAAAGTTTGATTTGGTCTGTTTTGAATTTTGTGCAAAGGTACACGAGGACTATCTGCGCTAGCCAGTGGACTACTCTGTTACCAATGAATAGTAGGATTGACCATCAAATTATAACACCACTACGGCTGAAAGGAGAAGCATGTTCATGGAGGATTTGAACCTGCAAAATTAAGATTGCGTGTAAAGCGCCCTAACCCCCTGGCCATACACATATAAAGGCAAATACAAGTTTTACCTATAATTCCAATATGGCGCTCTTTGCATTTAAGTCTCGTGATGCTCAGTCCGATTCAACACCTCGTGAAATCGATTATAATTTAATTGTTTTTAACAATCTTATCCATTTATATTATATATTTAAAATAAGACTGATGTTAATAACAGCAAAGGCTTATCCTGTATTTGATATAGATAAGCAGTTTAAGAAATTTTTGCTTTAAAACTGGTATTTTAGCTAATTAGCTTTTTAATAATTTATTCAAATAAAACACTAAAATTGGTTTAGTCCTAAATATGGTGACAGGTGGCAGAATGTATTTATCAAATATGGCGCTGTCCATGAAAGAATTAAATTCTTTGTTAAGGTTAGTGGATATTAAAGGTACACTCGGATGAAACGTATGAGAATTATCGAAAAACCTTATCAATACAGTTTACTTTAAAGCTTATTAACGGTAATATAGTATGAGAGATAAATTAATCAGGTGTACTGTAAGTTGTAACTTGAGTTGTTGTTTCCTACTAGTACTTCTTCTAATGTTCTATTGCTACTACTAGTACTAGTTAGGGACGTAATAATTTAACAATAACATTGATACAAAATTCACACTTGGAGCTGCATCTTTACATTATTTACCTGCAATGAGGTTAAAATTTGATTATCAATACCATTTGCATATTTCCAGATATGTGACATTGTGTTTGTAACAAACTATTTAAGGCTTCGTTAAATTTCGAAATACATGAAATTGAACTTCACAAATTATAGTTTAACAACTTCGTTAAATTTGTACAAAAAAAATTGTTTTTTCTCTGATTTATTACACGTGAAACTCGTAATAATAGTAAGAGTGAAATATTTTATTTTCAAAGCAGTAAAGTTATTTATTATTATTAACATATACAGTTACGTAATGTAGAGATAAGGTATGTCCTGTGGTAATTGGTTAATTTCAGATAATTCACTTAACTAAAATAGGTAAACCAAATGCATAAAAAACAATATAATACTAATAGGCAGTTCCTAATGTCTGTATATCTAGACAAGAGATTTGGAATATTTTTTTATTTTATTTTTTGATATAAAGGCGGAAACATTAAAATAATTCTAAGACTACCTTGTATACATTACAAATTGATATTTGACTAATGTAATCAACTAAGTTACTTTACTCCAGCCCCATCTCAAACAGCAGCCACAATAATGTTATCATCCAAAACCTAAATTCCCTTCCAACCTGTCAACAGGAAACCAGTGCCTTGATTTTTAAAATAAGCACTACTAATAGGGCATCATGATTTAATTACAAAGCTACATTCATATTTGCTCTTCAATATTTCATTCTTCCAATTAGAATAAATAAAAGATGTTTTTTATGCATTTGTTGTGTACTTAAGCTAATTATTATGTGAATAACATTTGTACACTTTAGTATATAGACTATAAGTTGTATAGTTTCTTGAGTGTGTCAACTTATGTTAGTGATGTAAGGCTGGGTCTGACACTTTAGTATGTAGACTATAAGTTGTATAGTTTCTTGAGTGTGGCAACTTATGTTAGTGATGTAAGGCTGGATCTGAGACTTTAGTATACAAACTATAAGTTGTATAGTTTCTCGAGTGTGTCAACTTATGTTAGTGATGTAAGGCTGGATCTGAGACTTTAGTATACAAACTATAAGTTGTATACTTTCTTGAGTGTGTCAACTTATTTTAGTGATGTAAGGCTGGGTCTGACACTTTAGTATATAGACTATAAGTTGTATAGTTTTTTGAGTGTGTCAACTTATGTTAGTGATGTAAGGCTGGGTCTGACACATTAGTATATAGACTATAAGTTGTATAGTTTCTTGAGTGTGTCAACTTATGTTAGTGATGTAAGGCTGGGTCTGACACTTTAGTATATAGACTATAAGTTGTATAGTTTCTTGAGTGTGTCAACTTACGTTAGTGATGTAAGGCTGGGTCTGACACTTTAGTATACAAACTATAAGTTGTATAGTTTCTTGAGTGTGTCAACTTATGTTAGTGATGTGAGGCTGGATCTGACACATTAGTATATGGACTATAAGTTGTATAGTTTCTTGAGTGTGTCAACTTATGTTAGTGATGTAAGGCTGGATCTGTCACATTAGTATATGGACTATAAGTTGCATAGTTTCTTGAGCGTGTCAACTTATGTTAGTGATGTAAGGCTGGATCTGACACATTAGTATATGGACTATAAGTTGTATAGTTTCTTGAGTGTGTCAACTTATGTTAGTGATGTAAGGCTAGATCCTACACTTTAGTATATAGACTATAAGTTGTATAGTTTCTTGAGTGTGTCAATGTATGTTAGTGATGTAAGGCTAGATCTGACACATTAGTATATAGACTATAAGTTGTATAGTTTCTTGAGTGTGTCAACTTATGTTAGTGATGTAAGGCTGGATCTGACACATTAGTATATGGACTATAAGTTGTATAGTTTCTTAAGTGTGTCAACTTATGTTAGTGATGTAAGGCTGGATCCCACACTTTAGTATATAGACTATAAGTTGTATAGTTTCTTGCGTGTGTCAACTTATGTTAGTGATGTAAGGTTGGATCCGAGCAAGTACAGTACTGTATGACCATTCCTGCTTGATCAATTTACACTGAAATTTTGAGTTGGTAATACTGTGCTGATTGTCAGTGCTGTAAAGTAAAAATCAAGTCGTGCTTACTATTACTATAGTATATAATATAATATATTACTATAATACTAGAATATGTATGTATTATCTGTACATTGTCATCATGCATGTAGTCATTATTAATAGTGAGGAACAATGGTAATAGATACAAATTTATATGAGAATCTACCTGTTTAGTAAAATTAATTTTCTTGTAAAATACATAAAATGGTTGGTTACTGTGTGTAATTCATATGAAGAATTTTAAAACGGATTTAAAATTAAATTTCTTATTATTGCCTACTTATTTTTTATTTCTTTAAATGTATATTTTAGAATAATTGTTGCTAACATCAAATGTAAACTATACTTTTAATGCATTATGTGGAAAATAATAATATTCAATATCACTGGGATAGGTCATTTACGTGTTTAACTGAAACTTGTCTAAACTCACCAGCAGTGGAGACTAATTACTCAGCATTCCACCGTATCACATTTAACCGTAAAAATTGTCATCAGTTTTTTTAAACTCATTTTTCTAAACCAAGAACTAATGGTAAAGTTGTGGTTTGTTGATATCAGTCAATGTCATGATTAGCATTAATTATTAATTTGTTACTAATTAGCAGTAATTATACAGGCTTTCACCATTACAAAATATTTATACACTAAATCATTTGTGGGTACAAAACTTTGTTGGTCATGATTCACAAAATATTTTAAACAAAAATACTATCACTACTGCAGTTAATGTAATTAATGACTGCTGAGAATACCCTGTGTCTTAAAAAGAAAATGGCCAGTTTCACCATTTGTTAATGTCTGTTCTTTACACTGGGTGTTGTGACAGGTAAAACATTACTCAATATGATGCTATATGTGAAAACTAGTAGGTAATTTGGAGGTAAAAAAAGTCGACTACAGTACAGGAACACTGAAACATTAAAATTCTGTTATTTTAAGGTGCTTTACATCATTGTTTTGCTAATTTGTGTATTAATTTTTTTATATATACAGGTAATGACAGAAAAGCAGATTTAAAATTGAAATATAAGATGATTTACTTGTAAGTACATAACAGCAACAAACAGAGGGTGTGGCACACTTGCACGAAACGAGCGATCGTATAGGATCCACAGATTTCTTGTAGTTGATTAAATTCTGCAGTTACCATTGTTTTGATAGTGTATATGAGAAAAACAGTTGTAAGACTGATATGCAATATGCATTACTTTTCTGAAAAATAATTAGTGTTTGTTGTTAAAGAAAATTTGCTACTAATGTTTTGATCGTAATATAGTAACTTGTAGTTTGTTAATAGTATTTTGCAGGAGGATGTTACGGAACAGCAAACATTTGAATCCTTGGCTTCAAGTTTTCACCAAAGTTTTAGTAAGCCGGACCACTTTCGAGTTGGCTGTGCATTGGTATGGACCTTCATAATATTACTTTGATAACACTCAGACTATGGAATAAAATTATATTTGTGAAAAATAAACAAAATTTCTGACTAATAGGTTTTGGCTTATGAATATGATGTAAAGTTTATTGTTGTAATTGCCATAAATATATGAGAGTGAATCTTACTTTTATCATGTTGAAACCTTTTCTTGTTATTGACTGGGCAAGAAGAAATATTTAATATGTGATAAAAAGAAAGTACAGACTTTATCAACCAGCTCTGCATATCATGAACCATGATAGTAGTTCATAATAGGGATCACAATGAATTACACAAAATCCTAATAGAATGTTCAGGCAAAAAGCGCATTAAACAGTAAAATTTCAGTTCAAAAAACACTTTAAAACCTTCATTATTGACTTTTAAAGCTGTAAACATAAAAAATGCACAAAAAAGCATGCATATTAGACTTGAAACGAAAAGAAAATCCACTCAGATGGTCGATTTGTAATTCTTCTTCTAATTATTATTCTCTTACCAGCCTACAACAAAAATGGCATGCTATATTGTACTAAACCTTTTGTATAATACTAAAAAAGGTACTGCGAAGATCGTAGGGGTGCTTAAAGGTCGATTTGTTTCTTCTATATTTTACATAAGCTAAAAAACATCATAATTCTAGTGTAAACGACCTTACCATTACCTTTTGAAGTTAGCTTTCCTTCAAATATCTAGTGTTCCTTTAAAAAGCCTAAGTACAAGGTGTAACAGGAATTACCAGCCAATAATAGATAAACATTAGATGCCTGTAACATGTAGATACTCACTTTTTTGTATACTATACAATTGGTGTCTTTAGGGAGCCAATCCTTACATTATTTATGAAGTGAAGGAGTAAAAAAAAATCAATACACATAATATTAAATTTTATTACACACATTCATAGAATAATGATTTTAAAAAATAAGGTTTTATTTAAAGCAATGTTTTAGATTTATATCTTTTATTTGAAAAGGCTGCTTTTTTTACTGGTAAAATTTTATGTGCTTAGTGGGGGTTGTGTCTTAGTTTAGGCACATATTTAACAATTGCTATGCACTATATATAGAGAATTTAGTTACACACAAACTATAAATGCTTACTATATTCTCAAACAAATCTCCATGACAATCTCTAATTGCAGCTTAACATTTTATATCTTGAACTAATGTGATTAAATAAGCAATAGCTACAGTAAATCATAATGAACCATATCAGCTACCAACTAGCTATATTTATTATCATTACCATGTTTAAAGTTAGCGACCATATCAAGTAATCCTTTGCCCATAGTTGAGCATAAAAAAGCCAACAAACAAGATAACAAATTGGGTATTTAAAAACCCGCTAATAAGGATTGTAAAAAAAAATAAGCAAATAAAGCTGGAGATACTGTAGACATTATTTACTCAAACTACAAATTCCTATTTTGACTCCACCAAATGCAGTTCTAGGTAACAGCATGGAGCCAAAATAAAGGTTTGTAGTTTGAGTAAATAATGTCTACAGTAACTCCAGCCTTGCCTGCTTACTTTATTTTATGACCCTTGTTCACAGGTTTTTAAATTCCCAATTTTTTATTTATCTTGTTTGTATTAAGACTGATTAACCAACTTTGTTCATATGAGAGGTTATACTTTCCAAACATCACTTTTAACTTATTATAACTTGTATGATGCAGATTGGCACACAATGAAGATAATGATGCATGTTTGGCATCCTTTCTGTATATCATAAGCACATATATACCTATTCATTAAAGTTTGTGAATAGAGTTAATAGTTTTTGTCTTTGGTGTAAATATAAACAGTGATGTAAATTTGTTTACACTAATAAATAATGATTGATGTAAAAAGGTTGTTTTGTTACATCAAAATAATTAATACTGAAAATTTTGGTTTGGTTTAATTTTGAGAGTACAGATACCATATGACGTTGTTTTTCTTACAGGTAATGCTACTGCAACAATACGATCTGCTCCCTGGTAAAACCCAGCGATTGGCTGCTATATTTCTACTGTATGAAATGTATCGAAATGATCCACCAGCATCAAATCCTTTTGCTACAGTGTTTGTGCATCTTTTGGTAATGCTCATTTGACTGAATGTTATTGTGTGAATGTGTGTTTATTTTAATGGATTGAAATTACATTTGACTTGACATTGATCTGTTATGAGAGTGACTGTAGAAATGCAATAATAAAGGATTGAGTGTGACGTAGTGGTTATTGTGCTGGACTGTGGATCTGTCCTTCATGCCCCATTACTGAAGAAAAAAACTGCACTCTGGGGCCATTGGTGTGTTATAAGGGTAACTGTCAAATCCCACTATTTATTCAGACAAGTGTTGGTAGTGGGTGTTATCGATTAGCAGCCTTCTCTCTTGTCTGTTGGTTCAAAATGGGAACAACAACTGTAAATAGCCTTTCTGTAGCTTTGCACAATAAAAAACAAACAAGCATTAATGCATTTTTATTTAATATCAAATTACTTGATAAGGTTTTCATAATTGTTATTGACTCTATATCAGTAAGTTTGTAGTTTTACTGTATTCTGAATTTCAGAGTGCTTGAGAATTGTTTAGAAAACTGTTATACTCATGGAAAATATATGAATATATTGACAAACTGAGAAAACAGTTATGTAAAATACTTTTTAAAAATTAAGATTGCCTATCAGATAACAGGTATGTCTGTCTTTCAGAAATAAACTCCATAAGTGGTTGTTGTTGAAAGACTTCAAATATCAATTTATTTTAATAAAATGTATTATTTTTTATCATTAAATGCAAGGTTTTAAAATCTAAGAAGTGTTGCAATTGTTTGGTATCTTTCATGAGAACTGTATTTTCTAGACACTTACTGTTTGGTTGCAAGAACTGAAATATGCTGTCTTTCTTTCACAAGGACTTGTGCATCCAAACTGTATGGTAACCATCGCTGTCTTTCTCTTGCAAGGACTAGAGCATCCAAACTGTGTAGTAACCACTGCTGTCTTTCTCTTACAAGGACTAGAGCATCCAAACTGTGTGGTAACCACTGCTGTCTTTCTCTTACAAGGACTAGAGCATCCAAACTGTGTAGTAACCACTGCTGTCTTTCTCTTACAAGGACAAGAGCATCCAAACTGTGTGGTAACCACTGCTGTCTTTCTCTCACAAGGATTTTAGCATCCAAACTGTGTGGTAACTGTTGCTCTCTTTCTCTTGCAAGGACTAGAGCATCCAAACTGTGTAGTAACCACTGCTATCTTTTTCTTACAAGGACTAGAGCATCCAAACTGTGTGGTAACCACTGCTGTCTTTCGCTCACAAGGACTTGAGCATCCAAACTGTGTGGTAACCTTTGCTCTCTTTCTCTTGCATGGACTAGAGCATCCAAACTGTGTAGTAACCACTGCTGTCTTTCTCTTACAAGGACTAGAGCATCCAAACTGTATGGTAACCGCTGCTGTCTTTCTCTCACAAGGACTTGAGCATCCAAACTGTGTGGTAACCATTGCTGTCTTTCTCTTACAAGGACTAGAGCATCCAAACTGTATGATAACCGCTGCTGTCTTTCTCTTGCAAGGACTAGAGCATCCAAACTGTGTGGTAACCACTGCTGTCTTTCTCTTGCAAGGACTAGAGCATCCAAACTGTGTAGTAATAACTGCTCTCTTTCTCTTGCAAGTACAGGAGCATCCAAACTGTGTGGTAACCATTTCTCTCTCGTTCTTGCAATGACTAGTGCATCCAAACAGTGTAGTAACCACTGCTCTCCTTTTCTTGCAATGATTAGATACACAAGTTGGTTTCCAGTGTTCTCCTTCTATTCCAAGCACTGAAATATCCAAACTGTTTGATAATCATGTTTTCATTCTGGACTTGAGTATCCAATCACTATTTACAGATATTCTTCACTTTGTTGGGAAGATGAACAAGGACAGTGTTAACTTTTAAGTGTGTTTGAATAAACATATCACAAAATCTTGTATTTGTTTAATATAAGATTTTTATCTTGTATTGTTTTACATAAGGTATTTATCTTGTATTTAATGTTTAATGAGGAACTTACTGAACTGAATATTATTTAAAAACAATAACAGCATCATTTTTCAGTAGGCAAATTCTAATTTTAATAATCACAACGTTTTGTCCCATAGTATTGAGTCATCATCACCTGGGTCAAAACGTTGTAATTATTATAATCAGAATTTTACTACTGTAAGAGTTACTATTATTATTATTATATTTGTAGATTAATCATCATAAGTTTTTATGTTGTATTTTTAATATAAAGTGTTTATCTTGTACTTGTTTAACATATGGTTTAATTTGTACTTGTTTAACACAATGTGTTTTACAGTTATAGTTTAAAGTTTTTTCTTTTACAGCATTCATCAGAAGAAGAATCGGGAAAGAAGCAGGAACCTCGAATAATAATGCCTTCACTGTCAAATCCTGAGAAATACTTCTTGTCCCAGTTAATACTCATGCCATCAAAAGACGTAATAATCTGATTTTACTACAGATAAATAATTATTAATTCTGATACAATATCTTACCTCCTCTCACAAAAAGCTTTCTCGACTTGTACTGCCATCTATCTGCATAAATTTTTGCTCACCACTAGTCTTGTTACTCCCACTTATTATTGCATACTAACATGTAAATGATCATGCAGGAACACTAATCCTATCATAACTAGTGCCCTCTCTAATCATGCACATGTTAATCACTTCTTGATTGGCAGTCCTATTGATTTGATGTGTTTTTTTGCTTGTGGTTTAATTAACCTGTCCACACGTTTTTACTTTTGTTACTTTCTCCTTCACTTAATTTATTTTACGTTTTTGTTCTGTTTCTTGGAAAGTTATAATTTATTTACTCTCCTCTTTCTATTTTGGGAGTTATGCAGTTTCGGGTGGTCATGACTAGGAATGCTCTTCCTGTGGCAAAGGAATTTCTGACCACGTCTAATGGGTTGAAACCATGATTCTCGACCCAGGAAACAACAGCTCTGGTCCATTGGGAGCTTACCACTTTCTTGCTACAATCAAAACACACTGATGATAGTCCTAACAGGGTTTTTAGTGATTTTTTAGTTTTGGATTTGGACAGCGTTTTTCCTACCCTCCTGAATATGACTCTTAGTCACGTGTCATTTTGGGGGTTTGATCAGACCTTTTCCCCTTTGGGGGATTTGTTATTCAGGTATATTATGTTCTGTACTTATCTCCCATTTCCTGTGTTCCACCACAGCCATTCTAGAATGTTCTAATCCAACCACCTCTGGGTATCTTCCTCCTATCGCAAACTGGACGACCAAATTCCCAATGCCACCAGGTTTTGGACTGGAGATGAACACTCACCTGGGCTCTCCTCCTTCCTTCCATTTGCCGAATATTGGTTCCCAGTGGATCTAGTGTTGGCTATGTTGGAGGTGTGCACATGCAGAGGTGGGTTCTTGGTACAGGAGCTTCTCTTCCCTGCTGGTACCCATTTATGAGGTGAAAGGTAGAGGACCCTCTTCCTACTGTGGACCTGATATACAATTCCAGATGCTGCCAAATGTTGGTTGATGTTGAACTGCCATTTATGGTCTGTCATGCCCAAGCCACTCTACATCAGGGTGTCTCATTATTTTTGTATTTTTTGGGACCCCCCCAAGTTCCTGCTCTTTACGTTACTAAAGGGCAAATAATATACATGGCTCAGAAGTGGTCCAGTTTTCCTCTGGGATGTTGTTTATAATTCTTTATCACACCTTATGTTCTTCCTTTGGGCACTTCCTAAAGGGGAGTCGTTTTTCTCCAGCCCTCCAACAGTTCGTTTGGGATTCTAGCTTTTCCTAAACTGAAAATATATTTCCAGTAGATACTTACCCTCTCTCACATTTCCCACTCATCCTCCCCACTTCCAGTGTGAATTCCTTTGGTTAGTTATGACTAATTTTGAGGTGATTAACATATGCTAGTTATGATAGGGGTAGTATCGCACTCCTATTGGTAGAGGGTTGCCTGCATGATCAATTGCATGTTAGTATGCAGTAGTAAGTGGGAGTAACAAGGCTAGTGGTGAGTGAAAATTTGCACCAATAGAAGGCAGTACAAGTCGAGAAAGGTAAGTATCTATCGGCGATACATTTCAGTTTAGGAAAATGTTACCTTATAGTGATTAGAATAAAAAATTATAACAAGAATCAAGATTTTAAGTATTCTTATATCAGCCATTCTTCTTTTAATTATCAGATTATTAATGTGTGAATTTTCAGTCAGAATGAATTATTATTTGATAAAACAGTTAGGTGTAATATTAAAAATGATAAAACAATTATGTGAAACATTAAAAATTATAAAACAGTTAGGTGAAACATTAAAAATTATAAAACATTTAGGCAAATTATTAGAAACTAGTAAAAAAGCACATCAAAAACGACAGAAAACCATTGTTGAATGATTAATGCAAATTATAGAATTTAACTAAAACGTAATTGTTTGTACCTCCAAAATTCACCTACTCTTCACTTATTTCATCAGTCTTGAAGTAATTTTTTAAACACCACACTGTTAGTAAAAACTATGGGGAAAAATGAAATGTTAACCTGAAGAAAAGTACTTGTGCACTCTGACCCCCCCCCCCTTCCCCAGTGGTATGTCTGCAGACTTATACCACTGGAAATCAGGTTTCGATACCCGTGGTGGACAGAGCACAGATAGCCCATTGTGTAGCTTTGTGCTTAATACCAAACAACACTCTGAAAGAGACTTAAATAGTACTCATGAGCCTTTTCACTGTATTGTAGGTCAGGAAGTAGAAAACATAGTGCAGACATTCTGACACAAATTTTCAACTCTTTCAAGTGTACAAAGGATAAAAGATATGTTTATTTAAAACCAAGAAGATAATATATGTGTTAAAATACCAAAAGAATCTTTATTAATTAATATTTATTCACCACTTAAAACTTTTTAAACACCGACACAAATTTTCAACTCTTTTAAAGGATAAAGGTATTTGGTAGTAATAAACGTTTATTTTTTTATGTTTTAAGGCCAAGTAGATAATATATGTGTTAATACCAAAATACTATTTATTAATTAACATTTATTCATCACTTAAAACTTTTTAAACACTGACTCTAAACGTTAGTAGTAGTAGGCCTATTTATAGTCTAATTTAAGCATTAGGCCTAATTCATAAACGTAATGTAAGGCTTAGATAAAACACTACCTGGTAAATGTTATTTTTCTTTTGGCTAAAACTCAATGTCATAAAACATCTGAATTAAACTATTTTGCTGTTACATCACTGAAGTTATAAAAAAATAAAGAATAAAGAAACAAACCTTTCTAACAAATTAACATGAATGTTGAGCATTCAACATAAACACCATGGTTGGCCGAAGAATAATCAGGTGATAGTTTTGTTGCTATGTATATTTTTGAGCATTACCAAAAAAAAGGAGTGTGAAAGTGTTCTTGACAGAGTGTCAAAGGTAATAAGCCTTTTATAGTTAGGTATAGTCTGACTTGTCAACAAATAAAGGGGCCTGATGGTTATAGAGCTCAACTTATAATCTTTTCTTGCCCTTTCAGCTGTGGGAGCATTGTAATATGATAGTTAATCCCACTATTCATTGATAAAGGGTAGTCTAATAATTGGTGGTAGGTGGTGTTGACTAGCTGTCTTTCCTCTTTTCTATGACTTCCAAATTAGGGGCAGCTGGTGCAGATAGCTCTTGAGTAGCTTTGCAGGAAATTCAACAAAATAAACAAAGGCACTATATAATCAAAAGCTAAGCAAACTCATTCAGATTGTAAGTTGCATTTAGTTGCTTTTAATTCAGATAAGTGTAGTTATAGAAGTTAGTCACTCTTAAACTTGTAAAATTAAGTAACTTCATTGTTTGGAAATCTGTCAACTCATACTGATGGACATCTTATTTTCAGCATTCTGGATGATTTATTCTAGTAATGTCAAGTCCCAACCTTTTGCTTAGCATCTGTATATGGAAAGTTTGGTGTGTTTTAGAAGAGACATCTATACATATTGAGATAATTTTTCATGCCAACTGTTATCTTCAGTGTTTGTTGATATTGTTAACAGAAATATTTCTAGAGAAATAAAGTAAATGTAATTAAATAGATAATGTGATGATTATTTTGGTTTACAAAGACAACTAACAAAACTTTACTATAATTACAGTTATTTAAGAAAACTCCAACACAAATATTGAGTATGGACACTGGAAGCATGCAGGTAAAAGTTAATTTATATGTTCAAATCTTGTATTAAAGATCTGAGAAACAAATAGAAACTAAGACTACTAAGTGACTGTATGTGCATCTTTGTATTTATTACGTACCTGTTTCTGTCTATTAATCAAAACAAATATTAGAAACTTAGGCTACTTAGTGATTGTGCATGCATCTTTTATAATATGTATCTACTATGTACATGTTTGTGTTCAGTAATTTAAACAAATATTAGAAACTAAGACTACTTAGTGACTGTATGTGCATCTTTGTATTTATTACGCACCTGTTTGCATCTATTAATCAAAACAAATATTAGAAACTTAGGCTACTTAGTGATTGTGCATGCATCTTTTATGATATGTATTTACTATGTACGTGTTTGTGTTCAGTAATATAAACAAATATTAGAAATTAAAACTATTTAGTGACTGTATGTGAATCTTTTTATGATATGTATACTGTGTACATGTTTGTGTTCAATAATCAAAACAAATGTTACAAACTAAGACTAATTAGTAACTGTATGTGCATCTTTCTGAAATGGTCTTACCTTCTCTCACCCAAAGCTATCTCAATCCTGGATTAGCATCTGAGCGTAGCTAAAATTTTTTGCTAACAGCACACCAGTCTTTTATACCCCATCAGTTTCGTGCCATTTAAGAACATTGTTCATGTAACTACCCTCCACCAATCATATTCAGCACTCTGTACTTGTGCAGCTAGCTCCCTCGATTTATTCTAGAGTAATCCTCACCTTCTCGATTGGCATTCTAGGGTATAGACGTGTGTTTTAACTCACTCTCCATGTGACTGCAAAATTTTGATTGTGCTTGAGCGTAAATTTATAACTGTTTCATCATCTTGTATTTGATTTCCATTGTTTCTACTCGTTTGTTTTAGAAGTATTTCTGTTTCCTGAATTCTATAGTATTCATATTTATTGAAGATTTAATGTGGTGAATGATGTACTTCCCACGATGGTTGACAATGGTTCTGATATGAGTCCCCAGGTCTCAGGGTTGAAAATGTCTGCTGGAGAAGCACAGGCTTTAGTTTGCAGGGAGTTTGTGTCATACATTTGGCCAGCGATTTCTTCCTTTCACGTTACAGTTTCTTGTGAGGAAAGTTATAACTACTGAGTGTAAATTTCTTTCTGTGATACTTTCCACCTGTTACTGCATCTCCATGTAATCTCTTAGATTTGGTATTGTTATTTTTCCCAGAAGATCTATGGTAAGTTTTCAACGTGTATTCCTCGATCCCATAAGGTATACACATGTTTTGCTGTTTTGCGAGTTTATGTGAGCTTGTGTGGATTGACCTACTTTCTACACATGATAATTTAGATCTTTCATGTTTTCTCTGCTAAGTATTTGATAAGTTTGATTTTTTTTAATTCCTGAGGTAAGGTTTTACTTCCATGTCCTTTGTCTTATTGGTTCTTGGAATGGACTTATAAGTAAGTTCTATATTTATGTCTTTTATCTTCTAAGTTATTTTAATGGTTTTCTACTTCAGGTGTTGCTTATTGATTTATGTTTTAGGTCGAATTTCATATTTTTGCAAGTTTGTAATTTTTATGTACTTTGTAGTCTCTAAAAATTTCTAGGTTTTGTTAGTTCATTAGTCATAAGCACTTTCTCTAATTTCTTTAGATTCTGTGTCTTTATGGCTACACTTTATGACAGTTCCATGGGTTTTACAGGTTCTATCTGAAGGTTTCTGACTTCAGTTCTGCTCTCCTTTTATCCACTTCCCAGATTTTCTTCTCTCCTCCTTGAGATCATACTTCTTCCAGTTATCTTCCACAGTCTGTTCAAGACTTCCATCACAAATGGGATGGTGCTCACTCCACCTGAGTTTTACTCCCATCTAATTGTTGTTCCTCAACAGATGGGCGATTGGAAACCCGTCATAGACTTGTCCTGATTGAACTCTTATCTGGAGCTACTTCACTTCACTATGGAGTTCTAACTCTCACTTTAAAGAAATGAGAGCTTCCAAGGAAGCCCACATCCTCAAAAGAGAGAGAGAATCTCTCATGCAGTGAGAAAAGGAGAAGGCAGGGCCATTGAGACTACCCGCACCAATCCCTGAGCCAAAGTGGAGAAGGCTGGGTCTGACGAAGATGGGAATAGAAGAAAAAACTCCAATGGAATAAGAAATTGAGTGGGATGAAGAATGTACCTCACCAAATGGATCAGAAAACCCTACCTGATTAGCTTCCCGAAAAAGTAAGCAGACGTGACTGACTGAATGGGCAAGGGAAGAGGCAAGCAGGATCCAGTCATTTATGAAAAGGAGAGTCTGCAGACCCAACGAGTGAAAATGACTGACAAAAGAGCATACGAGTTGACAAAACACACAGAGCTGAAAAGGAACTGAAAGGCAGCAGCCAGAACTGGAAGACACAACTCCTATGGACAAACCAAAAAAACTGACATGACACTGGAGCAGTTGGAATATGAAGATAGGCATCCATCATGTCAATTTGGTCATACAATGTTCCAGAGAAGACCCCCACCCCACCCACCCGGGTTGAGCTCACATGTGTTCCCTTCAGTGGACACTTCTTGACCAATAAAACTTCTCCCATGATCCCTTGGACCATCCCATTCCCCTTCCTCCTGGGAGCAGGACCAACCTTGCTTGTTGGCTCAATGGAGAAGTGTCCATGGTGGGGCTCCCATTATTCCCAATTGTCCAGAGTCTCACCTGTTTACTGTTTTTCTTGGTGGTTTGGGGGTGTTTCCTCGATTCCCAAGAGGCTACTCTCCTTTTCAACATCCTGGAACTTTTGGCAATGTGTTGAGCTCTGTATCATTTCCTCCTGCTCCTGAGTGGGCAGGTGGTTACGGTTCATTCTGGCTATATCACCAAGCAAGGAGGAATCAAATCCAGATCTCTGTGTTTTCATGTGCTGGATCTTCTTTACTGGGCCCACGAACACTACGTGGTGATCTTGGTGTGTCATGTTCCCAGTGTCCTGAGTCTGATGGCCGATCGCTTATCTCAACCCAACCAGATTCTTCCAACAGAGTGATCCTTTTTTCCATGGTTATTCTGATTAATGTGTTCTCAACTGGGAACACTGCATATAAATGTGTTTGCCATTCACTGGAATATCAAAATACCTTCCTTTTGGTTTCTGGTTCCACACCCTTCAGCTCTGGGAGTTGATGCATTCAGTCAGATTTGGAGGGGTCTTCACTTTTATACCTACCCTCCAATCAGACTCCTCTCCTGAGTTTTCCCTTTTCCAGACCATTCTTTGTCATGCCTGCTTATTGCTCCATATTAGCCTGCTAATACATAGTTCCATCTCCTCTGGCTCTTTCTGGAGTGACATCCTTACCTCTGTCCCAGTCTCTCCTTTGTCAATCATTATCTAATGTGGTTCATTTAGATGTCACCAAACTCCATTTGCATGCATGGCTTTTGTCCAGTCCTTTGCCTCTTCTTAGGGACTCACCCCTAGTGTAGCATCTTTCTTTGCCCATATCTTTCAACCTTCCTCCTTGTCTTTGTACCAGAGGTGTTGGTCTTCCTACAGACTTTGGTCCATCCACTGTGGCTTCTGCCCGTCCCATCCTTCTGTTCCTTATCTGTCCCAGTTCTTCACCTGGTTGTTTGATCAGGTTTTGTCTGTGTCAGCTGTTGATAGTTATAAGGTTGCTGGGTCGAACACCTTCCATTCTCCCACTCCTGGAATGCCTTGTCCTCCCTGGTTATTTTCCTCCTTTTCTGTTCCTTTTTGTCTAGTCCATCCACCTTGTCCTATTGTTCTACTAGTTTGGGATCTTAATGTTGTTCTTCATACCCTGTGCAGTTCTCCCTCAGAGCCTATCGTAACATGTTCCTTGTACCATCTTTCCCTTCAGACCTCTTTCTTCTGTCTCCTGGCATGAGGTCATTGTCTTTCCAATGTTTATGCATTAATGTTTCCTTCATCCTTTACCATTCCCTGTGTGTTATTCACTATATGGATTGGACCTTCCTTCCCAAGCCATCGGATGCCCAGGAAGATAGTTTAGCCTTTTCTCCTATTTCCTTACTTTCTATTTCACACGTGTACTCCCGTTCAGATCCAGATTGACTACTTTGTCCAGTTCGTATCGTGCTATGTTATGTGGCTTGTTCTGCTTCCTTTTGTTCCCATCTATTTGTTCCATGGAATTCTACTGTTTCCAATGATCTATTGCCTATAGTGTTCACTGGTTGGGTTCATCAACTCCTATGACTGGCATATTCTGTCTTGTCCGTGGGGGGCCACTGTTTACATAATGTTTCTTAACACCACCTTCGTCATCTAACTATGTCTTTAGCTACTTGAATCTGCTGTCCTTTGGAGGAGATAATTCAGGCTGGTATCTGGACAACTCCCAATACATTTTTCACATGTTATCTGCATTACCTAACTGTATCTTCCTCGGGCTGGTATCATCTTCCTCCTGTGGCAATTCTACACATGTCTGTTTGCGTTTGACTGGGGTAAGTTGACGTATTATTATTATTTTTTATCTTATTTAGTTGATCTGCATCATATTTAAGGATACCACCTGGTGGCAGGTATTTCCTGGTCAGAAATGCTTAATATTATATTAGCTAAACCTGTATACTTCTATAATGCTCACTGTTGAGATGGGGTGTTTCCGTAAGACCACTGGCTGCTTAACTGGTGCTTTGTGTGTATATATATATATATATAATTTTTTGTTATCACTATTTCATATGTAAAAGACCATTACTCATGGATTCATGAGTAAAGTAGATGGAGATTTCTGCCTATCCATACTGACCCATGATTCTTCCAATCAGGGTCTTACTTCTTTTCAAAATAGGGAATCTCAGACACCCATTGCACTGACTTTGGTGTGTCATTCCTCTGAACTCCCCAGCATGTATTGTCCCCCAACAATGATTATACAACAACATAATATTCAAGATCCAGGATGCTTCTCCCAGATGTTTTTGCTTCAGGCAAACCACATTTGTTGATCAAAAGTTCCTTATGCAAGGCACTTCCACTGGATGTTTTCTGCCCGGTTGGACCACACTTGGCATAGTCTGATATACTCCAAGGTGGTTACCCTAGATGTTTTTTGCCCAGGCAGACAGTAGTTGGTTTTATCATATGTATCCAAGGTGCTTCCCCTTGAGTATTGCCTGGGTGGACTGCACTTGTTGATCACTATATCTTATGTAAGGTGTTTCTACTGGATGTTTTTTGCCCAGATGAATCACACTTGACATAATCTGACATATCCCAAGGCTTTCCATGGATGTTTTTTGCCCCGGGTGGATCGCACTTGGCCTATTCTTATACAATTCACAGCCCTTCAGCCACGTTTTCTTTGGCACCATACCATAGCTTACTGTCACTATGTTCAGTACTATGGCCCGCTACACATGTGGACAAAGTATGACATGTCTGTTAACAACAGGCTGGTTATGACAACCTTCAAGATCACACTTATGTCTGTATTTTCATTTTCTTCATCCTATGTATCCAAGGCGCTTACCCTGGATGTTTTTTGCCCAGGTGGACCACACCTGTTGATCTCAATATCTTATACAAGGCATTTCCACTAGATGTTTTGCGTGGATGGACTGCACTTGACATGCTCTAATATAACCCAAGGCACTACCCTTGACACATACTTGTACAGGCCCATTGTTGCTTCCACACCAGACTTTCTATGTTTGTTAATGCTGTGCTATAGCACTTTTCCACTGATTCGAGGCTGTACGTCTCTTTTCTGAATGCATTGGTGCTTGCCAATTCAGTTCCTCCCTCTTTTTTTGTTCCTGTGTTAATTACTGGGTGAAGAGCAAACCTGTTACAGAAGTAGTGCTATACCCCACAGGTTTGCTTTCTTTTCATATTCTTGCACACCTGTTCTTTTAGTGCAGTTGCTTTCCTCTTGATTGGATATTGATGTGCCTTCACTGGCCCATCCATCTTTGCAATGTGGGATTCTAGCTTTGGATGAGAAGAGGTAAGACCGTTTCAGAAATTAACATTTTCTTACCCTGAGGTACTTACCTCCTGTCACTTACTTCCCACTCTTCCTCCCCACTGACATGCTAGTGTTTTTGGTTTGTACTCGCCAATTCTCAAAAGTAAGGATTACCCTAAAATAGTAAGAGGGAGCTAGCTGCACTAGTCTAGATGGCACAGTATGATTGGTGGAGGGTAGTCATGTGATCAGCACACTTTCTGAAATGGTGAGAAACTGATGGTATATAACAGTCCAGGATTGAGATAGCTTTAGGTGAGAGGAGGAGGTAAGTACCTATGATATGTATTTACTATGTGCATGTTTGTGTTCAGTAACTTAAACAAATATTAGACATATAGAAATGTTGGTAAACACGTGTTATGATTACAAATGAAAACAGATAGAAGTGTTGCTAAACGTGTTATGAATACAGATGTAGACAGATAGAAGTATTGATAAAAACGTGTTATGATTACAAATGAAAACAGATAGAAGTGTTGCTAAACGTGTTATGAATACAGATGTAGACAGATAGAAGTATTGATAAATATGTTATGAATACAGATGTAGACAGACAGAAGTGTTGGTAAACACGTGTTATAAATACAAATATAGACAGATAAAAGTGTTGGTAAACACGTTATGAATACAGATGTAGAGAGAAAGAAGTGTTGGTAAACACGTTATGAATACAGATGTAGACAGAGTATTTATAACACGTGTTTACCAACACTTCTAAAATATAGACAGATAAAAGTGTTGGTAAACACGTTATGAATACAGATGTAGAGAGAAAGAAGTGTTGGTAAACATGTGTTATAAATACAAATATAGACAGATGAAAGTGTTGGTAAACACGTTATGAATACAGATGTAGAGAGAAAGAAGTGTTGGTAAACACGTGTTATAAATACAAATATAGATAGATGAAAGTGTTGGTAAACACGTTATGAATACAGATGTAGAGAGAGAGAAGTGTCAGTAAACACGTGTTAGGAATACAGATATAGAAAGATAGAAATGTTAGTAAACAGGTGTTATGAATACAGATGTAAACAGATAAAAGTGTTGCTAAATGTGTTATGAATACAGATGTAAACAGATAGAAGAGTTGCTAAATCTGTTATGAATATAGATGTAGACAGATAGAAGTGTTGGTAAACACATGTTATGAATATAAATGTAGACAGAAGTGTTGGTAAGCATGTATTAGGAATACAGATGTAGACAGATAGAAGTGTTGGGAAACACGAGTTATGAATACAGATGTAGACAGATAAAAGTGTTTTTAGTGAAAATGTAAATATGTGATCAGCTACTAAAGGCGTTGCTTCAAAGCTTTACCCATTTCTCCTCAAATTACTATTAAGTCATAAATAAGAAGTTTACTAAAATATTAGGTGTTATAAACATTGAAATATCTTTGTGTAAGTTAGGCACATTTTTGAATAATCTTATCATTTGAAAGTCGTATTTTGTGTTTGCAGTCTTTTGATATAAGTGGACTGCAGTTGGCTCTAGCAGAAAAGCAATCTCAGATGACTCAAATGAGCAAGTCGGGCATACCTGTGGTTATATCTGATCCTGATACCAGAAACAGTGGGTGAGAACATGTGTTTTTTTGTTGATCTTACAAGCATTTATTACCACTGATGAAGTATAATATGGCACATGTAGTACTCTAGCTGACAACATAGCACTAATTTGAATCTTGTAACATCAATAAAACTGTGATTTTTATCCAATCACTTTCTCAACCTTAGTCGTGATGGTGTGATGTAATTTCCTATATGTCCAATCAAACCAAAGATAACATTTACAATTTTATAAAAACTTTATAAGGAAAGTTTTAAAACAATGTAGGAAGAGATAAAGTAATTGAAATCTCCAAGAAAGATAAACAATTTTGTTTCTTTAAAAAAACTTATTACAATGAAATCTTTTGAGTTTTCAAAGCTCTGAATTCCTATGAATATTGGATAAAAAAAAAAGTTATTTCATTTGCATAAGCTACATAATTTCTAAATAGTTGACCTCAAGTTTCAAATAGTTTCTTCTTTCAATACACGTAAGCAAACCATTCGAGAGGTCAGTCGAGTTGACGATGCACACACAGACATTGTACAGTTAAAGACTTCACTAAAACGTTAAGTTCAATTCTTACTTTACAATCAGTCTTATGGTGAACTTCTGTTAGTATAAATTGTGACAAAACTTCAAGTTCTCACCAGTGGCAGAATTCATTTATAAGATATACCTTCAATACTGTGTAGAGATCAAAATAATAACTACTTCTTCACATTAATCAACAAATGCTGATATTGTTTGCCTTGCAAGCATATGGTTCCAGATTACACTTTATCTATGTATGTAGAATATAAGTATGTAATCTATAATTGAGGGTATTTTTGCTGATAAAGTTTTATTTCATCTAGTGATCCAACAGTGGAAAAAGATTCAGAGAGAAAAACGGCTGAATTTCTTCTAACAGGTCCAAATGCTCCCATGGAACAGTGTTTCAGACCCGAGTTTGTTCGTTTGGCTCCACCCCTACATGTGTGTGAAGATGAGGTTAGTTGAGTTTCAGGAAGATATGTTTCCTTTCTGTAAGTACCTCACTTATAAAATCTTGTGATGCCTATCAAGCTGTCTCCCCAGTCACTCGGCTTATAATGCTCAAAATTGGGTTTTGATACATTTGGTGGCCCACAGCACAGATAGCCAGCCCATTGTGCTTAACTATGAACAGGCAGAACAAGAGACTGGCAGACTCCCAAAATTTAGAAAAAAGAAAGATAGATACTGTTAAAAGAAGGTGTTACAGTAGCTATGGTAACTCCTATCTGTTAACTTAAAATTATATGTTATTGACATTTCACAATAACAGATTTTGACAGTTTGTGTTGTTACTATTTTTCTATTTGGGAAGTTTTTAATATGTTATAGAAATAGTTCTTGGTAATATGTAGTTTTTTTCATTTTAGGGAGTTTATGATGTATTACATGTCATGATAGCTTTTAGTAATTTTTTATTTTTGCATTATCAGAAATATCCAAGTTTTATTTGGTAGATTCATACACCTGGTTTAAGCTTCCAAAGAACTGTTGGTAACATAACACTAAAAGAAAATACTTTAGTTTTACAGTATCATGTATCTGAGGATATTATTCTTTGGGATTATTTGATTTCACAACATCCTACCTTAGAAATCATATGAAGTACAACAAACTATAAGTACTATCTTTTCAGGTTGAAGGTTGTGTTCTGTGTTTTAAAAGTGTTGACTAATTTCATGTAGAGACAGCCATACAGTCTAAAGCTCTGTTGTTGTTCAGGTTAAAGGTTGTGTTTTAAAAGTGTTGACTAATTTCATGTAGAGACAGCCATACAGTCTAAAGCTCTATTTTTGAAGGATGTTGGTCTGTAACACTGTTTTAAAACATTCTTTATATAACATTTTTTAATCCATCTTATACTGCAGCCAAGCCAATAAAAATCCAACCTGTGTGTGAAATTTTAAAGAAAATTTGATTTGTTCTAATGGTTCTTTGTTTAAGCTCTAAAAGATGTCTTGAATGCATGACAAAAGCTGATTTTGAATCTAAAATACACAACAACAGGTTTACATCTAAAAGCCACAGCAAAAATTAATTTTAAATCTCAAATTACAAACTACAAGTTGATTTTGAACCTAAAATATTAGACACTAATTGATATAAGACTAAAAATGTAGGAAAACTTGAAAATTCTGGAATAGTTTTTATTTTTATAAATTGATTTCATATCTAAAATAAAAGTTAAAGTTGATTTCTGATGCAAATTACAAATGCAAAATATGAAATCAGGTTACCCATATAGACGTAAAACTAATTACAATTTGACTTGTGTACTGTTTCACTGAAAATTAATAATGAAATTGTTTTTTATAGTGTAAGATATTGTGAAAAACATATTTTAAGTTCTGAATAACAGAATGTGGTTTAGAAAAATTAAACAACTACCTGAGATGAAATGTTATCCTACCTGACAGCTGGTGTGGATGAATCCCACTCAGAAAGCAGATCACAAAGTAACCTGGGATACGTCGATGTGTGTCAGTAATGCTGTCGGGGTTGAAGCTAAAAGACTAATGGCTAAAGCATTTCGTGGTTCCTTATCATTGGCCCAACAGTCACAGCTGCTGTCAGAGTTGAAGCAAGATCCCAAGATAGTTTATCACATAGGCCTAACCCCTGCAAAGGTAAGTCTTCTATTGTAGTTGTATAAAAAACGTTACTGCTTTCTATACTCATTGAAAAATATTGAAGATTGTATTGATTTTTTTGTCTATTTTCTATTAGTAAGACTCAGACAAAAGATGTTTCTTTTTATTATAGCAAATTGAGTTTATAGAAATTTCATATATAAATCTGAAGCAGACTGTAAGCAGTAATATGAACAAACTGAATGTATTGAAACACTATATAAATCTGTGACATTCTGTAAGCAGTAACATGAACAAACTGAATGTAGAGAAATGTATGAATCTGAAGCAGTCTGTAAGTAGTAACATGAACAAACTGAATGTAGAGAAATAATGCATGATTCTGAAGCAGTCTGTAAGTAGTAACATGAACAAACTGAATGTAGAGAAATAATGTATGAATCTGAGGCAGTCTGTAAGTAGTAACATGAACAAACTGAATGTAGAGAAATGTATGAATCTGAGGCAGTCTGTAAGTAGTAACATGAACAAACTGAATGTACATAAATAATGTATGAATCTGAGGCAGTCTGTAAGTAGTAACATGAATAAACTGAATGTACATAAATACTGTATAAATCTGAAGCAGTCTGTAAGCAGTAACATGAACAAACTGAATGTACATAAATAATGTATGAATCTGAAGCAGTCTGTAAGCAGTAACATGAACAAACTGAATGTACAGAAATACTGTATAAATCTGAAGCACTTCATAAACGGTTGTAAGCATTAACAGGTTTTTATGATCTCGTAAAGCCAATTGTAGACAAGCTGATAACTTTTAACAAGTTTCTAGACATACATTCTTATATTTTAAACACTATCTTGTTTGTTCACAAAATTTTATATTCCAACGAGATACCTTATTTCCACTCACATACATAGCTATAGTGCTGCCCTATATTTGTTTTGATTTCGCATGCCACAAGCCTTTTATTTCTACGTATCCTCTCGGTTCACATGGTTTAATTGATTCGTGCATACAAATTATCATGTGACAAACCTCCACCAATAGACATGCCTCATACACACATGACTCATGTGACTTCCTCTATGCTATTCTACTTAACTGTCACTTCTTGTTTGGCAGTGCTTATGTTAAGATGTTTTCTTCAGTGCTTTCTCTCAAATCGAATTTGAATTTTTTAGTTGTAATTGTTTATATTTTAGACTACCATCTGTAATTTCCATTTTAATATTTCATAGTGGTATTATTTCACTTTCAAAACCCATTTATGGAAATTATTTAATTTTCTGTGTTTGTTTTTCTTTGTGTTTTGTTTACTTTATGAATTCCAAAATAAATGTTTCCACGTTGGAAGTTGTACTTTTTACCAGCACATTTACTCAGGCTTCAGGTGGGGGACCTCAACTATGGAATTATCAGCAATTATTCATCAAGACTGATCATTATTTGAACTAATTTTCTTCTCCTGATGTTGCCCCTTTTCATCATGAACAGACCAAACCTGTTCAGGATGACAAAGCATTTAACAGCCTTTTTGCTCCACCTGAATTTGCTTACTGTGGGATCAACTAGGCCTCACACAGCTTTTTTTTGGGCATGATCTCACAGATATGTTCTGTTTTATCCGTCTTCCTGATTTCCCATAATCCTCTACCATCCTTGTTACATGATACTCCATCTTCTAAGTATTTTGTGTTTCCACCATCTCCTGATATTGGGGTTCATGTTGAGCATTTTGTATCTTAGTTATATTGTGGCACGTGCATGCCTTGCCCTCCATGTGCTGCGGACTAGTTTGCATTGCCCTACCATCAGGTCGATTTTCTGTTCCTAGATTCGCAACACTTGGAATCCATTTTACCCATTTGGGAGGCTGATTCTGATTGTCCTGTTGTTTTGTCAGATGCCCAATTTTCTCACTTTTGTTTTACCATTATGTCTATCCTATGGTACTTGTCCACCATCTACCTTCTCTTCAAGGCAATCCACTGTGATCCTGAGGGTTTCTTGGGGTAATGCTTGCCCTAAATACATCCTTGTTGATACCCTTGTCAACCTTAACTCTTTCTTTACATACATGGTTCATCTGTTGTTGGGATCTTTTGAAGAGAGATGTAGTTTTGTCCCACATTTGCTAACCATCTCCTTATCCTTGGGACTAACACCTCATCCCTTTTCTCCATCTGTCAGTCTTTGGAAATCTTCTGGCGACTTTGGAATCTTGGATGGAATCTGTGAAACAACAATTGACTCTCTCCTCGTTGGTTGATTGTTTATCTTGCATGGAGCCTCAACAGTCCCTATATCTGTTCCCTGTTCTACTCCTTCCCAACCCTTACCAGTTCCTTACACAAAAGAATCTTCTTCTTGCTCTTTTCTTCAAGGATAAGGTTGAAAGGAAGAGCACAAAATTGACAAACCACCCTGTGATGAACAAATCAAAGATAGTATCTCAATATAGGAATATGGAGATAAGCATTCAAGATGTCAACCTAGGTCATCCATAAACCCAGAGAAAAAGCCCACCTGAGAGTGAGAAATGACTCCATGGTAAACGAGATAGCACCAAGAAGTGATTGAGCTGTGACAGATCTATCTCAGGCTGACAGTCTCAAGATTTCTTGGGGGAATACAAACAGCCTGGAATAAAACCCTGGAGACGGGCGATTTACAGGTCTGATGGCATGTTGAGAGTGAAGATCTTGTACTGCCTCGTACAGATGCTGACATTTGGGAGGATCCTGATGCATCAAAGGAGAAGAGAGGAAATGGATGACAAATCCCTCTGATAAAACCTGAAGGACTCATAGATCCCTGCAAAATCTCGCCACAGATGAACAAATTAAGATAAACGAGCCCCCAGTGGACCAGAACCCACAGGGTAGTCACCAATACTGCTGGCAACATGGGGCTTGCTACTGCCTCGTCTGTCTTCTGTCGGGTGGTCAAGGCTTTTGTATGTCTTATGCACACTCGAGGGTTGCGCTTCCACCATTGCATGTACAACTGGCTTCTCTGAGCTCATTCTGGAAAGGAGTGTGCCCAACATACTCGTTTACTTCTTTCAGAAGTGGCTGTGGTTGGTTGATTAAGTTGGAGAAATTCTTCCTTGCACCTACCCAATATCTTATCCATTTGGGTGTTTTGTTCAACACTCACCTCAGTCAGGCCCAACCTTCTCCTCTTCGACTCCATTTGATGGAGCTGGCAGTCATCAATGCCCTTACTGATCCCTTTCTTACTGCTCGCGAGGTTCTATTTCTTTTGGGAATGTGGTCATCTATGGTGGCATTTATCTCCATGGGTCATGCTCATATGAAATTCCTTCAGTGGACTCTTCATTATCAGTGGAACCTTGTGTGGGATTCCTTGGATGTTCCTATTACCCTTCTTCCTTCCCTTGTCAACGATCTGCATTGGTGGTTGAACAAGGATCACACTTTAATGGTAGTTCCACTTCCTCCCCCTCATCTGGATTTACATCTTTTTCATGGACACTTTTCTTGGTGGCTGGGAGGTGTGAGAATGAGTACCAAGTTGCTTGGGTTCTATGGCCTATAACAGAAAGGTCTTCCGATATCAAGATCCTGGAGTTGCTTTCTGTCCAGCAAGCTTTGGAGCATTTTCTTCCTCTTGCCTGCAGTTGTCTGGTTATGATCCCATAATAACAGGAACAGTGCGACAAGCAGGGGAGAACTCCTGGCCCAAAGACCAATGGGGTAGAAGTTTTACTTATGTTGATAAACCTCCATGGAAGAAGGTTGAACATTATGTGCCAACAAAGAAGCTTCTTGTGATGATAAACCAGATTTCCTCACCAAGGACTAGAAAAAAACCAGGCATGAAGATGAAGGACAGGAATGACAGGATGAACTACCCGGGACTGAGGCTGCCATAGAAGGGATGGAGTGTTGGAAAGTGGCAGCAGTGGAACAGATTTGATCTGAAGCAGTTGCAGAAACCACAGTTGAGCCAGCCAACATGGAGCAATTAGAAGGACCTGACATGAAATGGAGTAGATGATAGAAATCACCCTTGGGAAGAGTCAGATAAGAGGATAAACATAAAGGCATTTTTCTGTTCAATCCTGACTGAACGCATTGACAGCCAGAGCAAGTGGATGAGTTACCGGAGATCAAAACTGGGTTAACTTGGTAATGAGGATAGTAGCAAATGCATCCAGGTGCAAAGTACTCACCTGAGTGCATAACCACTGGAAAACCTGAGGATCTAACGAGGGAAAGACAATCTGCAACCAGGATGAAAGCACCCTGGTGCATGACATGCAAGAAGATGAATACTTTGTGTGCAGGCCCAAAACAGGAGATCCAATGTTCGAGAACAAATGGAATGATAATGGGTGCCTCCCTCAAGATTGATATATGCTCTGAACATAGAATTGTCTGTATGATTTTCTCACTTAATTATTTGATCAGGAGTCTTTGGTTATCGTGGGTTATCAGGTGGCCTTATACCACACCTTTTGATTTTCCCTGTACCATATAGTTTTTGCCCCACATACCTTGTTCCTCCTGTTAAGTTCCTTCCAGATTAGTTGCCATCCACAGCATGCAGCTCTTCTCAATTGTGATGTCAATGTAGTGCTTCATTGCCTTACTTTACCTTTGTTTGAACTTTTGTCTTCTTGTTCCATATTTCATTTATCCCGTAAAGTGTATTTCCTCTTCCTTTTGGCCTGTGGACATCATCAGTCAAATTTGTTTGCCATCAACATTTCATGTACTCTGTACCATTCCTTCTATCTTCTCCTTTATCTGGGTTAATTCTTACTTCACAAGACCTCAGCAGCTAGGGAGGGTAATTCCTCCTCTTCGCCAATTTCCCTTCTGTCCATTTCTCACCTCTGTTCCTGGTCTGATCTGGATAGCCTGCTATGTCCCGTTCATGCTCTTTGTTTTTATATCACAAGCATGGCTTCCTTCCATCATAATCACTCCCATCTCTTCATCCCTAGGCAACTATCCTCTGTTTGTAATATATATCCTTCCACCTTTACTAATTGGATTTGTAATTTGATTGGCTTATTCTTCCTTGTCTCCTTCTTACCATCAATTACTTTGGGTGTCTTCCCATCAGATTAGGCACCTCACTTTTCCCCTGGCACCTCCTCTGCATCATCTTTTAAAAGAAATTCTTCAAGCAGGTATGTGGATCACTACCTGCGTCATGTTGCTGTTTCTTCCTCATTGAGTTATCATCTTCCATCTGTTGCCATTCTTCTGATCTCAGTGCGACTATCACTGGATAAGTTTTCTTTATTCCTTATTTATCTTTTTAAGGGGCCTGTCCCACATTTTGATCTGGATCCCAATCTGTGGCGAGTTGTACCTGGCCAGGTATACTTCACTTACTTAGTTTGGTATTCAAATCTGCACTGAACGGTCATGTTGATTTTATTTTTCTTCTATGGCCATTAAATGCACACTGTTCTGTAATATGCTACAGATGGGGTGTTCTGCAAGATTGCATGTAGGTTATTCTTCATGATATGGTTGCTTCTTAAATATGCCTGTTCTGACTGTACCCACCCATGAACTTCATAGGTAGAGCGGGAGGGGATAGCTGCCCATCCCTGTCATTCCTTAGATTGAATAAATCAGGTTTGTTCTGCTTTTTAGTATAGGGTTTCATGGTCACTCATTGCACTGTCTCCGGTATGAACATTCCTCCGGACTCTCCACCATATCCCCCCACCCTGTTTCTTCCATTGAAGTAAGAGAGTTCTTACCACTTTCCAGTTCCAAGCCACTGGGGTGGTGGATCATGGAGGTCTCCTCCTGAAGGTGAAATATACAATATAAAGATAACACATCCATTCAGGTGGGAGTAGGGTGGTGGTGTTCTGCTGGTGTAAACATGATTGGGATCCCTTATCCTACCCCCACATGGAAGTCGGTTCCCTGTGGTTGAGTTATGGATTTAGAGTTGAACCAATCAACATCATGTCCTCACATGTTGTGCGATAAAGATTCCTCATCCTACCCCTGCATGGATGTCAGTTCCTAGCAGTTGAGTTTTGGATTCAGATCTGAACCAATCGACATGATGTACTCACACACATAGTGTGCCAGTGTCAAGGCAGTTCACATCTTCAATTAGGATCCTTCATCCATTCCCTGCATGAATGTTGGTTCCCAGCAATTGGGGTTTGGATTTAGAGCTGAACCAATCAACATAAGTCCTCACAAATGTGTTCAAGGTGTCTCTGCTCACTTATTCATTCGTTTCAGGTGCACTTCCCTGTGTTGTGGGTCATGAGGGATACACTTGGTTGTTGCTCTACTTCATTCTCTTGCACTCATCATTATGTTTTTATTCCAGGGATTGTACAGCATTTGGGGTAGTTCTGATATGTTTGATTTGAGAGGGATATATCTGTATTTTATTCTAGTCACATGTACCCTCTTCACCGATTGGTGATGATAATTCTCTCTCCAGTTGACTGAACTTGAGGTAAAGACTGTATGATCCTCTTTCCTACCCCTGCTTGGATATCGATCACCAATGGTAGAGTTTTGGATTGAAATTGACTTACCGATGATATGATCCTTTTTCTACCCATGCATGGTTATCAGTTCCCGGCAGTAGAGTTTTGGATGCAGTTGACTTGCTGTGTATGGTCCCTTGCACCCTAGCCACTCTACATCTTTGTGGAGGGACCAGTGTAAGGGAAAAAAAAGAAGAAGCATCCTCCTAAAACGTCTGAAGGACCCCCTCAAGAGGGAACCCTCAAAGAAGAGGATGATACGTGGAAGACCACATCACTTCTGTACCAGGTAAACTTTTCGCCCAGACATGGAAAAGGTGAGACTGAGTCGGGTGGACAAAAAAAATGAGGAGCACATCTCATTGTGGGTAAAATAAGGGATGTGCCCTTATGTGGGAATCTAGCTATGTATGTGAGCGGAAGTAAGATACCTTGTTGGAAGTTATAATTTTCCTACACTGAAAATATATTTCTGACAGGTGCTTACTTCCACTCACATTTTCCACCCTTCCTTCCCTACTGTCTACTCGTGCTTCATTTTCTGCCTAAACTTGAAGTGATAGTTAGGTAGAATAGCACAGAGGGAGTCACGTGTGTGTGGCATGTCTGTTGGTAGAGGTTTGTCGCATGATAACTTGCATGCGTGAATCAGTTTAACCATGTGAACTGAGAGGGTATTTAGGAATAAAAGGCTTGTGGTGTGCAAAAAATAACAAATTGCAAATAGAGAGCAGCACTGAATGAGAATGTTTGTGAGCAGAAGTAAGTATCTGTCGGAAATATATTTTCAATGTAGGAAAATTATAACTTTCACCAATCTTACTCAAGTTTTTGTATGAACTTTTCCACACAGCTGCCAGACCTAGTAGAGAAGAATCCTTTAATAGCAATTGAAGCTTTACTTAAGTTGATGCAGTCTAACCAAATTACTGAGTAAGTATTTCATCATTCAGAGTTTAATGAAGAGTAAGGAAGCAAACATTAAGTAATCACAACAAATAACACAATAACTTAAGTTAATCTCAACCAAATAACAATGAATTGTTAGGTTAGATGAAACAGATGTGAACAAAACTGTACACATACTATGCCAAAACGACCTAACAATCTCAAGTGGTTTTGAGATATATATTATTGTAGTAAGCACTTTTTAGTTTCAAAATGATGGAAGGGCAGGTCATGTCATATATGTGCAGTTGCTACACATGTTCAATTGTGCAAGATTTCCAGTATGATAGTAGATAAGGTTATTCTGTTGGACATTTAGTTGTTGAAAAGTTCAGTTTATGTGGAGTGATGCTTCTAGGTCAAGTTCGTAATAGTACATTAGTTAATCTTGGTGAAGGCCAAGTTCAAAATAATACATTAGTTGGTCTTGGTGAAGGTAAAGTTCATAATAGTACATCAGTTAATTGTGGTGAAGGTCAAGTTCATAATAGTACATCAGTTAGTTGTGGTGAAGGTCAAGTTTATAATAGTACATTAGCTAGTTGTGGTGAAGGTCAAGTTCAAAATAATACATTAGTTAATCTTGGTGAAGATCAAGTTCATAATAGTATATTAGTTAGTTGTGGTGAAGGTCAAGTTTATAATAGTACATTAGTTAGTCTCGGTGAAGGTAAAGTTCATAATTGTACATTAGTTAGTCTTAGTGAACGTCAAGTTCATAATATACACCTGGAAAAAAGTTAAGCACCCCCAAATATTTTTCAG